AATAATAATAATAATAATAATAATAATTGTTTTTTAAAAAATAAAAAAATCTCATTAAGCCAATCATATTAACTATTTGGGGGTTTATTGACAAAAGGAGTATTCAAATCACACAACAAATTGAAGTGGGAAACTACCCCGAAATGTCCTTGTTTGGCAATCAGCAGTTAGCTCTTCAATATTATTATATATTTAATATTTTATGCCCTAATTTTTATTTGCTCTCCCTTATGTCCCGTATTTGGTTTCAACCATACCTATACAATTATTTTATTGACAATTATAATTATCTTGACTATATTATTTTACATTTGTAAATTTAAAATTACCTATTTAAATACGCAAATTCAATATTCAATTATCTATACATGAACAATTCAATATAAACTTTCATTGATATACTTTAAATTACTTATTTAAAAAAAAAACATTGAGCATTATCCAATCGCGCAATGTGCGTAAAAAACTAGTAATAATAATTAAGTGGTATAGTAGTGGTGGTGGTGGTGGTGTTGGTGATGTTAATGGTGGTGGTGGTGGTGGTGGTGGTGTTGGTGATGTTAATGGTGGTGGTGGTGCAGTGGTAGTGTGGCGGTGATAGTGGTGTTATTTGTTATATAATAATAATAATCTTTATCTTTATCTTCTTTATATATAATAAAGCAGAAACTAGGCACAAAATTTCCCCTCCAAAGTGTGAATGCATTTTGATAGAAGCAAGATTAGCAAGTATGAATGCATTTTGATAGAAGCAAGATTAGCAAGTATGAATGCATTAATTGTGTGGGTTGATGTATTTATACATATTTTTTTTGAAGTTATTATGTGTACTAGTATTGTCCCGTGCGATGCACGGTTATATATTATAAATATTGTTATAATACTATAGTAAATTAATCATTATAAACATAATTGAAGTTGTTTAGGACACAAGAAATTTTAGTACATTAAATCATTACATGAATTTCAAAAATATTTTAATAAACATAACTTTTGTATTCAATATTATGTTTAGGACAAAAGAAACTAAGATCAGCCGTCATTGATTCCATCTCTTAATACTCTTGCATGGAGTTACATGTTTATTGTAAATATAAGAGACAAAAGATAAAATCTGCTCCGAGTAAAGTAATAAAACTAATTAAGACTTTAAGACTAAATATAATGGTATTTGCGTATGAACATAATAGTTTAACCAGATTACAGATTAGTCACAAAGAGCCACAGCAAACCAGGATGGGCAAATTCTCCTCCCAGCACCAAAAGGCATCATATTGATTTCTCTGTTACCAGTTATATAATACCGCCCTCTAGTTCAACTTCCTCAGTTACATACCGTGTGCGGCAACACGAAATGTGCCGAAGAGTAGCGTCTCAACCCTTCCAAAACTACTACGGAGTACTTTTAAGTATGGCATTCTCTGAAATTCAAATCATCACCTTTCACGCCCTCATTCGGCCTACCACTCCAGTGATTTCCTCAGAGAGTTTAGCTAGAGTACATGGGCGCTTCACTAAATTAGCCACCCTATCACCTATTCTCTTTCTGCAAATCTCCCATTTCTCCAATTAATATATATTCTTGGTTTCCGGTTCATAGCCAAGCATTTCAGGAGATGAGAGTGACAGCACAACATTAAGCTCAACCACATCTAACCACTCTCAACTAATTCTGTTACTTACAATTCTTTGTGTATCTCTTCTTTTTAATTTCTTCCCGCTCTCCTTTCCCTCTGTAAATATATAAATTCTGTACAGCTTCCTTGATAGCTTAATGAGAAAATACCTTTCATAAACTTTGGTTCCCTTTGCCTTTTTAGTCTTTCTGTTCAAGATGCATTCTTCTTCTTTCTCTCCATCTCCGGACTTCACACTCCTCTTCTTCCTGTTATCCACGTCCATTCTCCATGCCTACCCTTATGATCTTGACGTGCTGCTGAAGTTGAAGGTTGAGTCATTAACACGATTAGGAGGAGTCTTTATGATGGGATACAAAAATAGGGCACTTTTTAAAAGTAAACAAAGATAGGAAAAACTATTTTGTGGAATGCATGTTTGCTTAACATAAAATGCAACCTCAGAATGCATGTTAGCTTTTTTGAAAAAAAAAATAGTTTAAATAGAAAAGAATATAGTATTATATGTGTATGTGTATAGTATTGTAAAAGTAGATATATATGTATAAGTATACACGTATACTTGTTCTTCTTTTTTTTTTTTTGGAAAAATATATTAGTTAGTTTTTTTTTTTTTTTTGAAAGTAGTAGTTAGTTAATTATTACATAATCATTTGTACTGCAATAATAATGCATAGTAATTAGTGTATAAAAATAATGAAAATAAATTATTTAATTATTAGGAATCATAAAAGTAATAATTGCATAATGACTATAATTTGTTGTACTTAGATAAATAAAATTAGTAATTATCCTTTAGTTGTGATATAATAAGATAAAATAATTTATGCATATTTTACTTATAAGAAAAAATATATAGTCAAATTATTTATAAAATAATATTTATTATTACGTAAATGTTTAAAAAATAAATAGAATAAGAATATGCTTGTAAATAAAATAGAGTGATATAAGTTGTGTTCATATTTATGATTCATTTAACAAGTTCAATTCACCATACATGTTGTCGTGAATGTCATATTCAACCGACCATGGATAAATATTCTCAACATTACATTTACCAATCAACATCATTAGTACGATATTGTCTTCTGTATTGAATAGTACAACATCATCTGTTTCCTCAATTTGGAAAGATGTTTCTATTTCGTCCCACAACAGTGGGAATAGGCTTGCATTGAAGTAGATCTCTATTTCTCAATTTCCAACAATTAGCTTTAAAGTGTCGGAGAAGACTTGGGAGTTGTTGAGAAATGTACCCAACAAATCATGCTAGAGAAATGTAATGAGAAGTTAGTAAATGAAAAAATTCCTGTTGACGGAAGTTGAATGTATACGTTAATGCATGTATATTGTTTCTTACCGCTGAAAGGTTTAGAGAAATCAATATACCAAGAACGTTCTCGTCTTTGTAGTGCATTAAATGACAAGGATGGTGGGATAGCGGACATCGCATTGACAGTTATTTGGTCTAAAATATTAAAAAGAATAGTTAATATTTGTAGTTAAGTGTATAATTTATAATATATGGATTATAGTGTAATGTTACCTTGATCATAATGGCGAGCTGTTATGTAATCCCCATAACGATTAGGCTCTAGCTTCATCTTGCCATTAAAGTAGTTGGGAGTGTTGTAGCCATAGTAGAAAAAAGTTTCAAAAGTAAAGAAACCAGTATGTCTAAAGAGTACAATGTCCCCAACATGCAAATCATTAACTGTCATGAAATCTGATGTTCCCGTAGTGAAGTGCATGTTCTCAACGGTAACTTCAATTCCTATCGAGCGACCATGACGCAAAATAGCCGTTGTAGTAAAATGTTGCATTAGATGACGATGCATGCAATTTAGAATTTTCTAGGAAAAAAAATTCGATGTATCAAATAAAAATGTAATCAATGTACTAAAACACATAATAACAAAATTAGATTGTTATACTTACCATTGTTACTGTCGACGTAATTGTAATACTAAACCATGTGATAGTGCATGTAGTAATATCGGGCAAATGTTGTTGATAATTGCAAGCTGAAAGTAATAGTAAAAACTATAGTTAGTCCTGAAAAAAGTAATTAAATAAAAGGTTACCAAATATTACGTGATTCATAAATAATGGCTTGTAAGCCTTGATGTAGGATCTCCGTCGAATATCTTTTGGCACCTTGTCAATCTTGAAAAAACATTGGCTCCAACGAATTTGAGCCTAGCATTTGTAAATATTTAACCCATGATGGTGCTGCGAAACATGCGTATTGGTTTGATATTGTATGTATTATAATTGCATACAATGTTTTCTTCCCATTAACGGTATAGGCGAAATAACGTTTCATTTGTCTATTATAAGAATTGACAGCTGACATATTTGTAAAACGAACAAATACGTCCATTTTGAAATTTCAAATGCTAAAAGAGGTATAGTGTATGTAAAAGTTACAAAGTTGGCTAGATGTTGGTTGGTATGTAATGTTGATGAAAACTGCCGTGATTTATATAGAACTAGGAAAAACACAAAACATGCCTTCCTGAGAGGCATGTTACATGAATTTATAATTAAAAAAAAATACATATTACTCTGAAGTCAAACTTTAAATTGTAAAAGTAATTTCCAATGAATTTCATTTCCCCACACTAACAATTTTCCACATATAAATCAATTCTCCAGAAAAATTGTTTAATTCCAACAAAAACGGGATTCAGAAAGGGGGACATGATTTTTTTTTGGGAAGAATGAATTTATTGAATCGAAGTCAAACACAAAACATGCCTTCTTGAGAGGCATGTTACATGAATTTATAATTTAAAAAAAAATACATATTACTCTGAAGTCAAACTTTAAATTGTAAAAGTAATTTCGAATGAATTTAATGTTTCTGTTCTCAAAAGTAAAAAAAAAAATTGTTCCTACGAAACATGCATCCATAAGATGCATGTTACTTAGAACTAGTTTCCTATAAAAGGGTCAACGAAATCTCTTCATGGGAGCCTATTAAAATAATACCAGAAGTTTCTTATTCTGAAATTTCTTGATGGCTGCTTTAGAGTATAACAATTATCCGTTGTACGTGTTTTGGGGGGGTCAATTATGTCAATTTGCAATACCCCCCCCCTCCCCCCCCCCCAACTGTATTATACCAGTGCTGCACAAACAATCATTCAACTTGATGTGCATACTGGATTTGATGTCGTGGTACTTATGATACGACATGCAATGGGTCTAAGTTCTGAACACGACATTGAAATAATAGGAAGATTGATCGTTCATACTCCAATTGGTCTTACCCATAGTGCATATACTATATATACTAAACCAGGAGGAGTGGCAATATTTCGTACAACAAACATCCACTTTTGGTGAATTGCATGTTTATGTTACCCCACAAGTCAATGTTCCACCACAAATTCCAAATGCTGCAGGCTTTGGTGCATACGAAGAGTATGTTGACCCAGTCGAATTGTCGGAGAATACAGAATCAGAAGCCGAAGCCGAATAGATAGTCTCACAACCTTCATAAAATTCGGATGAAGACAATAGAAATGAACATTTTCCTTTCAACTTTGAGTCATGAAATTGTCTACAAAACCTATCTGGGTAATGATACTCAACAATGTAAAAGAAAATTAGAGGAACTCGGGCTGTCCAAAACTCTTGCCCTGCTTTGCAATAATGGGGCAAGCTATTCAAGATGTTATCATATGGAGTGAAACTGAACTGCAAAATAAAATTCAATGTCATGAAGTTAAAATTTTATTTATATAAATATCTATTATAATTGTAAAAATATAAACATTACATTGAAGTGACTCACTTTGCTTGCACTAAGTCGATCGAATTGGTCGCGATAAACTCGTTCTACGTGTCCGAGGACAGAACGCCATGAATGCCGGCAATTCCACCTAGGTTTCAAAATAACACAATAAGTAATTCACACACAATAAAAATTCAAGCATTTAATCAAAGTTTACAACTAACCTTGCTGCAAGTGGCAAATCTCCAAGTATTTCCTGAGGCAAAACGCCTTGTGGCCTAACCATAGGCAATCGCTCCCATGCCCAAATTTGTACCAATAATAAGCATCCGCATACGGTCTTAGTTTCATGATGGGCCCCTCTACACAACGCCCTGTACAGATACGCTAATGTTGCCGATCCCCAACTATATTGACCGCACACTTCAAAATCACGAATATACTCAAGCAAAAATAATTTCATATCTGTCTTATTTGTTTCGGGGAATAGAAGCCCTCCTAATAAGTGAAACATAAGTAATCGCGTGGCTTTTTTCACCTCAAAATCTGAGCTGTTAGGCATGAGTTTTGGAACTTTGGGTACGACTGTTGAATTAACCTTACTAGTTGTAACAAATTTATCTAGAAGTTCAATTCCAAACAATTCGCAAAAAACATACTTCCACTCTTGGACAGACCGCTTATCTCCCCCGTAACTGGTAGGCCATCCACCTTCAATCCGAATAACACTTCAATATCTTGAAGTGTAATTCCCACCTCACCGAAAGGCATGTGAAAGGTGTGGACCTCTGGACGCCAACGCTCTATAAGGGCAGCAATTAATGCGTGGTCCAACTTTATATTTGTAAGGTGAGTAACTCCGTAAAATCCCGCAACACGTAGGTAATGAAGCATTTGGGGATGGCAAACATCTCGACTTTGAGTCTGCACGTCGTACCATCTACTTCATCTTCAAGAAGTTTCATGTCTGAATTACTACTGAGCTTAACAAGAGGATGGTTTTCTGCAAATATTGTTTCCAATAATAAAACTACTTAACCAAATTTAGTATATTTGACCACTATTTAACAAAATTGTAATATCTAAACCAAATTTAGTATATATAAATATTTTTAGTATTTAAAAAAAAAATTTGCTTATGCAGTACTGTGCTTCGTTGATTGCTCATTTACAGTATCATTGTATGAAGAACATGGATTGGCACTAAACAAAAAAGTTGTTGTTATTAGTTCACCAGGATACTGGTACACCCAGTGCCTTATGTTAATGTCCTCTATTTTACTCTTTTTGTGTCTTATTCAACTTCATCTATAATAAATATTGATCGCTGAACAACTTTTTCATAGATCATCTTAAATATATTATGGATTGCAACCAAGAATAAAATAGAAGATAAAATTAGAAAATTGAGAATTCAAAAGAACAGAAAGTCAATTGCACAAAAGTGAAGTTTAGAGCTTACCTATAGGTTTCTGTCAATTTGAAGTAAAATGTCGCCTTTTTCACCGTCGATCACCACAAACCACCGCACGCCGTCGACCACCACAAAGCACCGAACGCCGTCGACCACCGCAGACCACCGCACGCCGTCGTTGTCCACCCCACGCACCGCCGCCGTCCGCCGCACAAATAGACGCAGATGAGATTGAGGCGTTAGAAGTCTTCTGTATCTTCTATGCGGCAGAGAACGTAAAAAAGGGGAAGGGGGAATAATGAAATAAGTAGGGTTTTATTAATACATAATTTTATATTTATTTTTTTTGTATTTATTAATGTGAATACATTTACCGTATTATCCCTGTACTATCTACGTATAATGTATCGTACTTTATATGAAAATACATTTTATTTAAAGTTATTAATGCATTCCTGAGATGCATGTTTAAAAAAGTAAACATGCATTCCTCAACTTCACTTTTCCTATGTTTGTATCCCAAAAAAAAAGGTCTTACTTTTGTATCCCGTTCAAAACGCCTTCCCAACCGGCGAATTCACCCGTTGAAGGTTTCCATGGTCGGGCAGCGCAACTCTAGGCTGAGGACTGGCGAGACGCCGGCAACGCCACCTCGGGCGTCGCGCATTGCCTCTTTTCCTGGGCGCATGGATATACACGATTTCCCATTGCCTCTACCATCTTTGATCTAGCTTCTAAGTTCCCGATTCTCCCTCAAAGATGTGCTGGTGATCTAAGCATTTGTTGATATTTATACTGGATTAAAGGCAAAAAATATATGTGAAAAGTTTTTTTTTTTTTTTATTGAAAATAACATACAAACAATTTTCTAGAGAACTCAAAAGACAACTTGGGAATAACATCCATAATTACTCTTTAGATTTGAAAAGCCTGTAAATCAATGTTTGGAAAATGGAATATGAAAAACAACGAATACTAAGGTCTTGCCATTAAAATAATTAAATTAAATATGTAAAATCATGAAAAATAACCCAAATTCATTGGGCGGGAACTTATTTTCTATTTTATATTACCAAATATGTTTAGCTTTATTATAGTAGAGGATTTATATTTTATAAATTATATTTTTATTATTATAGCTCTATCTCTATCTCTATCTCTATCTCTATATATATTAAAGCATAATGAAGTATGGAAAAAAATTTATTGTGTTCAAAATTTTTGGTAAAGTTTTATATTTAATATAATTTGTGTATATATTCATTTAAACCTCAATTATAATTAATTTGACTCCACATATATAAAGAGGAGAAATTAGATATAAAATAAATATAGTTCTTACATAAATAATCTTTTTCAAATGAATAACTTCTTGGTGGAGATTTTCAATAAATATTGCCTGTTATTTTAATTACAAGATTTATTTAAATACGTTAGTTATATAATTAAAGTAGTTATTTCAAATTCAAATTCCTTTCAAAAAAATTCAAATTCAAATAATAATACAAGTAACAATAAACTTTAAAATCAACATAATAATAGCATAATTAAACTTTTAAAAATATTAAATATTGACATCTCCACTGACATCATCAAAGCAATTCAGGAGTCAACGATTTCTATCATCGTGCTCTCAAAAACTTATGCCTCCTCTCGATGGTGTCTTGAGGATGTTGTGAAGATAGTAGAATGTAAAGAAAAGGCAAATAAGGTGGTTCTCCTCGTATTCTATGATGTTGATCCTTCTGCACAAACAAACTAGTGGGTTTGGTAAAGCCTTAACTCAACATCAACAACAATTTGGGACCAAAAAAGTTAGTCAATGGAAAACAGCTCTGACTAAGGTTGCAAATTTTTCTGGTTGGGATTTACAGAACGGTGCTGACGGGTATATCTTGATTTCTCCCTTTTATTTTAAGGTCACATTTGTGTAAGACCGTCTCATGGATCATTATTCGTGAGATGGGTCGGGTCGGGTCGAATCAAAATGCTGATGGTATACTTATATGCGCAAATGTCATATTTATATGTTCAAATGTAATACTAATCAAGAATAAAATTTTTGTTACTTATAAGGAAAAATGTAATACTTTTACATTTTGATGTAAAAGTATTATATTTCCATCAAAAGTGTTACATTTTCCATAATAAATAATGTTGTCAAGTGTCCCTTACTTATAAGGGAAAATATAATACTTTTGAGGAAAAATGTAATACTTTTAAATCAAAATGTAAAAGTATTACATTTTTCCTTTAAACTATTACATTTACCCTTATAAGTAACAAAATTTTTTTATTCCTGATTACTATTACATTTGAGACGACCGGTCTCACGGTGAGGCGACGATCTCACACAAATTTTTGCCTTTATTTAAAAAAACAAAATTATTAAATACTTTTTGTTAGTATTTTCTGGTTGTCTTCTTCCATTATTCCCCATGATACAATTCATCGGTCAATAATTTACTCATCAACAAAAATTTGCAGGTATGAATTAAAATTTATTGACAAAATTGTAAAAAAGGGTTCTACATGTGGTGAATCGGACATTTTTTAATGTTGCAAAATATCCTATTGGAATTCATACCCGGGTTAGAGAAATACTTTTTTTTATTATTACAAAGTAAATCAAATGGTGATGTTTGTATGATAGGGATTTATGGTATGGGCGGAGTAGAAAAAAACAACCTTAGCGAAAGCCATATTTAACCAAATTTATGAAACATTTGAAGGTAGTTGCTTTCTTGATGTTAGATCAAAATGTTCAAAGGGAGGGAGTGTAGATTTAAAATGTTTGCAGAAGCGGTTTCTTTGTAATACTCTAAAAACAATGAGATTTGAAGTTAACCATGTTTCGAATGTACAGAATTATATAATAGAAAATACATAAATTTATATCTAAAAATACAGAATTTTATACCTGAAAATACAGAATTTTATAACTGAAAATTCTCATGTTTCGAATGTACATAATTTTATACATGAAAACACATAATTTTATACATGAAAACACATAATCTTTTTTAAAAGGATAAAAATCCATGTTTCGAATGTACAGAATTTTATACCTGAAAACACATTATTGTATACCTGAAAACACATAATTTTATAATTGAATACACATACGTTTTCGTCGCGTTAATTTCCCACACAACTTAACAAAACGACGTCATTATGGGAGGCGCGGGGCGCACATTGCTATGTGCGCCCTAGTGCACGGTATAACGACTGAGGCTCAGGCTTGAGCCTAATAAAAAGCCTACATATAGGCTCAAGCCCAGGCCCAAACTTAAAATTTCCATAACAGGCCCAGTCCTAATTTTTCTAAAGCTCAATTCGGCTCGATCTATTTCCACCTCTACCTGGAGTAACTTGTCATAATCAATTGTTATATCGTACACCAGGGTTCACAATGCATTGTGCACTCTAAAAATCTCATGTTTCGTATGTACATAATTGTATAGTAGAATGCACATAAATTCCTAACATAATACACATAATCTAACATAAATACATAATACACATAAACTCTTAACATAATACACATAAACTCTTATCATAATACACATGAACTTTTAACATTATACACATAAACTCTTAACATAATATACATAAACTCTTAAGGTGCACAATGCATTGTATATCCTGGTGCACCATATAATTTGCCCTTCATAATTATCTCCTACCAATATCACCTAAAACGAAAGCAACATTTATAGAAATTTCGATTCCCTTTCCAAATTACACCCACAAAAGGCTAGTAAATAATTCATACCAATTAGATTATTGTTTTATTTAATTAATGCTCTGGCCGGCCTACATCTTTATATTAAAGATGGATGCAAGAAAATACATAGCAATTTCCATTTCTTAGAGATCAGAAGATGTATATATAATATAAATGCCTCCACATGAATTAGAAGCAGCAGACGCAGTAGTAATCTATCGTAAGTTAAGTTTTAATCTCCATCCATCCTTCCTACCTTCCTTAGCTTGTGTCTTTACCGGCAGGTGTTTCCACCATGGAATCTACTTCTGAAACTAATCAACTGCTCATTCACTCATCTTCGTCTTTATTTCCGCACTGCTACCACTACGATGTCTTTTTGAGGTGAAGACACCCGAAAGTCCTTTACGGATCATCTCTTTGCAGCGTTATGCCGAGTAGGAGTTTATGCCTTCAGAGATGCAGAAGAGCTCCGTAAAGGAGTGGACATCTCCACTGACCTCATCAAAGCAATTCAGGAGTCAATGATTTCTATTATCGTGTTCTCAAAAACTTATGCCTCCTCCCGATGGTGTCTTGAGGAGCTTGTGAAGATAGTGGAATGTAAAGAAAAGGCAAATCAGGTAATCCTCCCTGTATTCTATGATGTTGATCCTTCTAAAGTGCGCAAACAAACCGGTGGGTTTGGTAAAGCCTTAGCTCAACATCAACAACGATTTGGGACCAAAAGAGTTAGTCAATGGAAAACAGCTCTGACTAAGGTTGCAAATTTTTCTGGCTGGGATTTACAGAATGATGCTGACGGGTATCTTGATTTCTCCCTTTTATGTTAAGGTTACAGTTGTGTGAGACCGTCTCATGGATCATTATTCGTGAGACCGATCAGGACGGGTCGAATCAAAATGCAGATGTCATACTTATACCACTTACACTTTGATTCTACATTTTACCTTAAAAGTATTCATGATTACTATTACGTTTGAGCTATAGTACGACATTTGTGTGTATAAATATTAGATTTTCATCTTAATCCGACCCGACACAACCTGTCTCGGTGAGACAATCTCACACAAGTTTTTACATTTATTTTTAAAACAAAATTAGTTGTTAGTATTTTCTGTTTGTCTTCTTCCATTATTCCCCTTATATAATACAATTCATGGGTCAATAATTTACTCATCAACAAAAATATGCAGGTATGAATCAAAACTTATTGACAAAATTGTAGAAAAGGTTCTACAAGTGGTGAACCAGACATTTTTTAATGTTGCAAAATATCCTGTTGGAATTCATACCCGGGTTAGAGAAATACTTTCTTTATTACAAAGTAAATCAAATGGTGATGTTTGTATGATAGGGATTTATGGCATGGGCGGAGTAGGAAAAACAACTTTAGCAAAAGCCATATTTAACCAAATTTCTGAAACATTTGAAGGTAGTTGCTTTCTTGATGTTAGATCAGAATGTTCAAAGGGAGGGAGTGTAGATTTAAAATGTTTGCAGAAGCAACTTCTTTGTAATACTCTCAAAACAATGAGATTTGAAGTTAACCATGTTGATGAAGGAATTAGTTTGATCAAATTAAGACTTGGATCAAAAAGGGTTCTCATTGTTGTTGATGATGTAGACCATGAGAGTCAAATAGAGGCATTAGTCGGAGACCGAGTTTGGTTTGGTTCAGGTAGTACAATTCTCATTACGACTAGAAATGTTGATTTGTTGAATGGCCTCGGAATAGATTGCGAGAAGTACAATGTTGCACTATTAAGCTTCGAGGAATCTTTGCAACTCTTTAGTTGGCATGCTTTTAAGAACTTAAATCTTATGGATCATTTTATAGAACTATCAAACATGATAGTAAGTTATGCTGGTGGACTTCCTTTGGCACTTACTGTTCTAGGCTCACATTTTCGAGCAAGATCGTCCATTCAAGAATGGAGCAATGACTTTGAGAAGTTAAGAAGGATTCCTCATAATGATATTTTGAAGATTGTCAATTATGACGCACTTGATGATGATACTCAACAAATCTTCCTTGATATTGCTTGTTTTTTTTAGGGTGGATATTTCCCCAAAGAAGAGATTGTTACGATATTGAATGCTTGTGGTTTCTTTGCTCAAAGTGGAATTACAACTTTAATTGATAGATGTTTGTTAGGGGGAATAGATTATTATTATTATATGCATGTTTTAGTTCGAGATATAGGAAGAGAAATTGTTCGCCAAGAATCTCTTATACTCCTTGAAAAAAGAAGTAGGTTGTTTTCATGCGATGAGGTTTTGGATGTACTCGTGGACAACAAGGTAAATTAAAACACATTTGATTTGCTTTAATTTATTATTTTGTTATGTATGTTTTTCAAATTGTTTGCTTAGTAATTACATTTTGTACTTTTTCAATAATTCATTTGTCATTAATTTGCGTTTTATACTTTGATTATACTTGTGTCACTTAGGAATGTTTTAACACTATGATTTTTTTTTTTTTTATTTGTTAGGGCAATGAAGCAATTGAAACAATGATTATTAATTTGCCAAAGGAAGTGCATTTGAGTACTAAAGTATTCTCTAAAATGAGCAGGTTAAGATTACTCAGAATCTTATCCATGAATGCCAATGGACCATTAAAATACTTACCCAAGGAGCTTAGGCTGCTTGTTTGGAATAATTGTCCATTGAAATACATACCGTCTGATCTTTGCTTGAAGAAGCTTGTTATTTTAGAAATAACAAACAGCAATATTTAGGAATTTAAACCCAGTTTACAGGTTTGAAGTTTATATGAGATTTTTTGTTTTTTTTTTTTGACATTACATCTTTTTAAAAAAGTTATTATAATTTATTTCGACAAAATGATTGGGAAAAGCTTATTACAACCTTTTATATTTTGATTTAACAGCATTTTAGATGCTTGGAGATCTTAAGGTTTGATGGTTGCAAGCAACTTAAAGGATCCCCAAACTTTACTGGAGCATACAATCTAAAGACATTATCCTTCTCTGAATGTTCAAAATTGGTTGAATTGTCACAATCAATTGGAGATTTAGAAAAGTTGCACGAATCTTAGAGAGGTCCCTAATAGTATTTCCAACTTGAAGTCGCTTAAGTGTCTTTCTTTTAAAAGTTGCTCCAAAATTATTGTACCGCGTACTAATATTGTGGTACTTACTTCTTTAGAAGCTAAATTATATTCCTTGGAAACTCTACAGTTAGATCTTCAAATGGGGAGACTATCATGCTTGAGATTTCTAGACCTAAGCAATAGTTACTTCACTACCATTCCCAACCTTTCTCATCTTTCTCAGCTAACCAAGTTAGTTTTGAACAAGTGTCAGAACCTTCAACTGATTAAAGATCTTCCACCTAATCTAGGTGAGCTCCATGCATGCCATTGTCCCTTGCTGGAGAACATACAAGATGTATCAAGGCTACATTCTTTGTCTCTTTCTATCTACAGAAGTTTGATTATTGAGCCTCGATGCAGTTTTGAAAAGCTCTGTAATTTATATCTGGGTGGTACTTACTCTGATACCCTGCCCATTAACCTTTCTCATCTTTCTCAACTACAAAGTCTCAGTTTGGATAACTGCCAGAACCTTCGAGTGATTCAAGATCTGGCTTACTCAAGTTTAGAGTATTTGGGTCTTCATAACTGCAGTAATTTGATTGAAATTCAAGGCATAGAGAACTGTGTTAATTTACGTTCAATCAGGATGGTAGGATGTAGCGCTCTAGCGAGTAATTCTTGTCGTGAGAAGTTGTTCAAGGTTAGTGATCTGATCTGATCTGATCTATCTCTGATCTAGCGCTTCTCATGCATTTATTAATTAATTTCTTTCTTAATATATATATACGCACGCAGGCATTTTTACAAAACCCAAACCTTCACGGGTTTACAATGAGGGTTTCAGAAGACATGGTGGCAGAAGTAGTAGTTGGATGTTCATCATCAAATTACACATTGCCAATGTTTTCGACCAAAAAACGGATACTTATACTTGTGAAGATTTCATGTTTGTTTAGTTGTGTGTGTTATTTAAGATACAAAACCACAGAGGAGTTTGAGCATGTGAGCCACACAGATCCCACAGAGGAGTTGGAGTTGAGAGTATATGATGATTTTATAGAAGCAAATAAAGTGGAAGAAGTAAAGGTGGTTGTAGAGTTTTATTCACCGCTGGAGCATGGAGCTAAAGAGAATTTCAGAATTGAAACATGTATAATTTATGAAGAAGAGGGTGAGGTTTACTTCTTTCCTGTGAACCCAAATAAGCTCATCATCATATTCCACTCTGACGATGATTCTACACACAGCAAGAGAGATGCATATCCAAGGGTTAATGCAACAGTCACAATTAGCTCTCCAACCTCTGATTCAAAAATGGAAACAGAGCAGCAGCGCAATAGGCGATAAGAAGAAGAAGAAGAAGAAGAAGAAGAAGGAGGAGAAGAAGAAGGAGGGAGTTGGAAGTCTTTGTGGATGTGTTGGCTGCTTTTTCTGACACACAATTGGCTGGGGCGTGGGGGCACAATTTTGGGCAGAAGGGAAACAGTGGTAGGCAATCACCTCTTGCCACTTTGACTTTCAGTGGTTTTTTAATCTTTTTTTTTCCTATGTTTATTAAAAGAATAAGGTTCAAATTGGCAACAAAGTGCAATTAGGTCATTGAACGAAAAAAAATTCAATTAGATCATTGAACACTCCAAATATATGTAATTTTATCTGATAGTAGGTTACCATCCATTCATCAGATTGGCTGCTTACGTGAAGGGTGAGTTGGCATTTTAAAATAATTTTTAATAATTAACTTTAAAAATAAAAATAAAAACACTGGGGTGAAATGGATAATTTTAAATAATTAACTTTAAAAATAAAAATAAAAAAATGCTAGGGTGAAAAGGATAATTTTTAATAATTAACTTTAAAAATAAAAAAATAAAAACTTAAAAAATATTAGGGTGAAATGGATAATTTTTAATAATTAACTTTAAAAATAAAAAATAAAAACGCAGGGGTGAAATGGATAATTTTTAATAATTAATTTTATTATATTTTATTTTTTATTTTTTATTTTTTATTTTTAAAATTTATTATTAAAAATTATTTAAAAGTGTCAACTCACCATCTTTGTAAGCAGGCAACCTGATGAAATGAATAATAACTTGCTATCAGGTGAAATTGCATACATTTGGAGTATTTAGTGGTCAATTGCATTCTTTTTTCGCTCAGTGGCCTAATTGCATTTTTAGGTTACGTTCTGCGGCCATTTTGAACTTTATTCCTTTATTTAATAAGATCAAAGTCCAAAGCTTCTTAAATTTGATATTGGATAAAATTACTAAATTATCTCTTTTTACTCTTAAAGCTTAAGGAATCACTTTTGTCTAGGAATATTTCATTTGAAAGAAGATAATGAGAGTATTGGCTATAGAGATACGGGAAGGGAAAACCTTAAGGTTTGAACTCCATCTTCTTCATGCTTAGGTCTCAAAGTTATTGAATTATTCTAAGTGAGTTTGAACTCCATTTTTTCACTCTTTTTAAGTTGAATTTATCATTGGAGCCTAAGATTGATATTTGAAAATATTAGGAATTTTGACAAGGAGTATTTGTGTGAGCTAAATAGCTAAGATTTAGATGTTTTAGTTGAGTGGTTAACTCTTCTCTCCTTATTTTACAAATCCATAACCTATCTTGAAATATCTACTACTTTGAATACACATTTTAGGGTTAGTATGAGCTAAAAATATTTTGGGATTTAGATATAATATGACTCAAGCTATTTACGATTGTTAGTGTGATTTTACAATTTATTCGATTTATGAGTTATTATTATTGATTATTAAGGATATGTTTGAAAATTTTTGTGATGAATTAATATGTGATGTACTCATTGAAAATTTTTGTGATGAATTAATATATCATGGTACCCGTATACACTTGATATTCAAACAAGAACATGTTGAAAAGTTCAAGTGTATGCTCAATGAGGGCTCTTTATATGCGATTAACAATTTCATTGTCTCCAACAATTCTTTGACATTCAAAACCACATGACACAAATACATGATCAATTCCATGCGGGGCACAGAAATGTTTAATTTGATCACACAAATGATAATTTCCCAAATATAATATATAGATTTAAGAAGTTTGGCCAACTTAAACCATAAGAGATAATTTCATAGGAGTTATTTGGTCATTTTTTTAGTATATGGTAACTTCATCTTTCAGTCTATGTTATCACATATACTCATTTACAATTATGTATTTGTTAAACTAGATTTGATTGACTTTATCATGTCTATGCAATTGATAAGTACTAATTCTTAGTACTTTTATGTGCATAATTGATATCAAACTCATATGATTTCATGTTAATTGGAAGTTAAATATGTGCTTATTTGATTCCTTTGTGTCACTTAGGTGATTTGGAGGCATTGATTGTAACTTCATGTAAATTGGAGCTCAATTGGATGTGTTTTGAAGTCATCTTGACATAAAGTCAAGTTCCGGGAGTCATGAGATGTCAAGAAAGTGAAAAATAGCGAGTGGAAGTATCATGACATGACTGGGAGACCCAATGGAACAAAGGAGATGAAGAAATATGCATTTTGAAGTGAAGAACATGGGTCACGCTGGTGGTCATGCCGTGACTGCCTGACACCATTCTGCTTTGCACTTTTCTCTGCCAGGCGGCGTCTCGGTATTTTGAGCATATCTCGAGCTAAAAGTGTTCAAATGAGATGATTCAAGTGGAATTGGAACCGAAACTCAAAGGGCTACAACTTTCATGAAGATCATAAAGGCTAGTTTAGAAGTCTACAAGGTGAAAAATAGCCTAGAAATCAGAACTGTTATGCCGAGTAAGTGGTCACGGTCACGGCGTGAACTCAACCATGACCTCTGGAACCTGCAAATTATGCTAAAAAGTCACATCGTGAGGTAGATCGTGACCACAAGCCCAGAATCAGTTTTTAAATTGTATTTTTGATGCGATTGGAATGGTATAAATGGCCCTAGATGGTTCTTTTTAGAAAACAGTTCATCCTCCACGCTCTCTCAGAGGTTTTCTTGGAGAGAAAATATCTCCAAACATTTAGTTTTTGTAATCAACCAACATTTGATGAAGATTTGAAGATCAATTCCAATTGCAATTTCCAGATTTACTCTTGCATTATATTGTTCTTCACCAAGATCAATTTAACTTGTAATCAACCAACATTTGATGAAGATTTGAAGATCAAGTCTTTCTTGTTTCTTTTGCATTTTCTTTGTTCCAATTATGATTGCAATGTCTTTAATTTTAATTCATGTTTAGTTAGATTCAATTAGGGATTGGATTAAGTCATCTTTTGTGATTGAATTGCGCTATGAACTAGTGTAATGACTTGATAATGACCCTAGTTGTGAGCTTGATGGTTTGTATTGGTTCGTGTATAATTGTGGCCAAATTGTGCAAGAGGTGCTTGGAAAAAGGTCTTGTCACTATGAGAATAGGACAACACCATAGCTACACCTCTCACTAATCCAACTCACCTTTAAAAAAAAGGGAGTTGGAAGGAGATAAGAACATCATGTGTTTGATGAATTGCTTCAATTGGCTTGAGTCACCATGAGAGTGGGGCTGAATTCCAATTGAGAGTCCAATCTCCATGAGAGTGGCATTGGCATTTAGTAGTGCCTCTCTAGTTCCCTGTCAATGCATTACATGAGCTCTAACCAAGATACACTATACCATCTACACTTAAGTTACCTATTCCAAGTCCTTAGTTTTACTATTGGTTGTTAATTACCTTAGTTGATTGCTTTACAATTGCACTTAGTTGTTCCTTAATAGGTTGCAACTCACTCTTGAACTAGCTTCCAAACACTATACATTCTTGTGTTTAATCACCTACTATTCAACACCCTTCTAGTCCACTCCTTGAGACGATATCTGGTGTGGGGATACCCTCTCACACACACTCTATTTCCATCACCACTGCACACAAATTTCAGTAATCACTCTACACTACATTATTTAATGGCCAAAAAAAAGATTCATGGATATTGTTATTCAAGATCACGAGTAAGTCATGTTTAAATACTAATTTTTCATATTATAGTTTTATTACTTTTCAGTCTTATTACTTCCAAAATGACTATGCTTTATTGCATTCTATACAATGATAAATCCTTAAGGTGCATTTTTTGGGACCAATATATATTCAGATGTGTCGTGCAAAGATGCATAATGGTAAAAATCTAATTTCATCTTGACTTGTGATGCTTTGTAAATATTACATGATTTTTTTATTTAAGAATTAAAACAACAGTGTATGAAGTTAAAATTTGTTATCTTAATGATTAGGTGATGTTTCAATCACTAATACATTTGGTGCTACTAAGCTTGTGATATATAATAACTGTCAACAAATGTGTGATTTCAAATTATTGTACGTTACTTTTTGTATTTCAAATATTAAAATAGAGTTTGATTCAATTTTTTTCACAGCTTAATACCTTTTTAAATTATTTCTTCTTTTTCTCATATTTATTTTAATAATAATATAATTACTTAAATCATATTACAATATCGATTTTTTCAAGATAATTACAGACAACTGAGACATATTATTCATTTAATTGGGTGATACTTTTGCACTACTAATCTTATAATAAAATAAATGTACACTTTCAAATATTAAAATTATTTATAACTTTATCTTAAATTTTATTATCTAAATATATAATAAAAAATTTGTATCAGTACATCACACGAGTAATTTACTAGCTACTCTACTAAATATAATAAATTTATATATATATATATATATATATATATATATATATATATATATATATAATAATAATAATAATAATAAGAGTCAATGTTGGTAAGGTTATAATAGGAATACAAGTTATGTTAGAGTAATAATGTGCATTGATACCTTGTACATTTAATTTATTTATTGTACACATGGTTGCAAAAAACCATGCCTTGGCGTCGGCTAGCCACCTAGATTTTCAAAGTAACCGGCATTCTAGGCGCCAACTAGGTCGTAGCTGATTAGATATTGTTCCGTTAAAAAAATGAGTTATTTCTTTCAAAACGATGTCGTTCTGAGCAAAATAACCTGAACTCGTTCAAATCGGTCGCAAAACAAAAAAAAATGTAAAAAAAAAAAAACAAAAAAAATGAAAAACAAAAACAAAATCAACTACTCTAATATTGATACTTTGTGAGTGTGAATTTGTGGAATAGTGTTATGATTCTTTAAATCTTTATACAGTTTACAATTGTAGATGTTTTTAGTTTAATATTTAATATTTTAACATTTACTATTATAGTATTAAATAGTTTATAATTATCAAATCTTAAAAAAATTAAAATAAAAATTATTTTTAAAAAAAATGGGCGCCTAGGCGCCTCCCGAACACCTGAGAAACGCCTAGCAA